GTTGTTAACAAACACATAACAACAGATACCACAACAATCGGCACAAATGAAGCTTTTATGCAGCTTACGTCAAATTATTTTCATTGCTACATTTCAATCTTAATTTATATATTCAATTATACTCTTTGATTTTTCATCCAACACTGGTTCAACCATGACTTAGTTCGAATTTTATGACGTCTTTTGAATTAAACTACTCAAATTATCGGCTATGATCATTAGAATATAGAATTCAAATTCATTTTTCGACACAATATTTTTTCATTATACAAATTATTATCGACTAATGAACTGACTTATGCATCAGAATGTATCCACTCGAGACCCAATCTCGATGTTGTTTTGCAGGTTGATCTAGTTCGTAATTCTACAAGATTCGACCGAAAATCTTGTAGGTTGAATCTTTCCACCGCATCACTTTTAATATCACTCTTCTTCTTTAGACATTTTTATATATCTATGTGTAGAGAATACCACAATGAGGAAACAAAAATAAAAATAACCAAATGAACTCAAAAATAAAGAAGCAACTAATTAGGAAACAATTCACAATAATGAAAAAAAAAACAAAAACATGTGAATAAGAAAGAGATTTGGGAGTATGGGCCTTTTTAATAGATTCTTGAGCCCGCAAGGCCTCAACCCCACTGTTATTGAACCATGTGATAAAAGTAACTTTGGTCTTCATAAAAAGTGAACACGCCCTCTTTGTCCGCAATCATATGGTCTAATTTCTCATAATTCCCCTCATTCATTTTTTTTTTTATTTATTAATATTATTATTTGGTATTTCTTTTTTATTTTAGCTCTATTTTGAAATAGTATTTCACTTTATTTTTTTTTGTCTCCCCTTCAACCGCCATTGTTCTTGGAAACTTAATTAAAAGATCTCATAAATCGTTGTAACATTTATGCTATGCTATGAAGTTGATTGTTGGCTCATCCATATATATGTCGTACATCGATTGCAGCGCAATTTTGAAAAATTATATAATTGTCAATTGTGCTTTCTTGAAATGCATTGATCTTAAAAGAAAATATAAATCAATCAACAAATAATTATTTGATGATATATTATATGAACAATTAATAGTAAATAAAAAATGTTATTAAACTTAAAATATGTTAATAATTAGAGTTAATAACCTAGTATTTTACACATTCAAAAGTTTAAAATAAAGTTATTAGAATATTCACTTGTGGGTTGTCTCACATCCTTTATTTTTAGGAAAAATAGGCATAATTTATAAGTCCAATGGTCTATTCCTCCTTCTACCAATTGAATTTTAGGATTAAATCTCACTTGAATTTCATCTGGGCTTTCCCTGTCTTGGTGCGTTTCATCTGCGTGTGACCGTACTCGTTTATTCCCCCGTTTCTTACTGGTACTAGAGCCGCTTCTATTGGGGACCGATAACGTACCCGTTTACCCAACCTGTTTCTAGTAGGGTGGGACCACACTCGTTTATTCTCCTGTTTCTTACTAGTATCAGAGCCGCTTCTATTGGGGACCGTCAGTAGGGTGGGACCGCACTATTTATTACCCCGTTTATTACTAGTATCAGAGCCGCTTTAATTGGGGACCGTGCGATGACGTACTCGTTTACCCAGCCTATTTCTAGTAGGGCTTGGGCACCCAGCTCTGTATATGGGCTTGAGCTTCTTATAAAAGGCTCACAAGTCGGGTGCATTAGAATATTCACTTATGAGTTGTCTCACATCCTTTATATAGGAAAAATAGACATAATTTATAAATCTAGTGGTCTACTCTTCTTTATACCAATTGATTTTGAGATGAAATCTCACTTAGGTTTCATCTGAACCTGTCTAAGTGCGCTTCATCTGCGTGGGACTGCACTCGTCTATTCCTCCTGTTTCATACAAAAGTCAATATATTAACACAAAGCACAAAAAATAAACGCATGTAACTACAAAATAGCAAACTGAAATGACTTTAGATTTATATATAGAGATTGATGTTAAAAAAATAATAAAATATATAACCAAATGTTATCCCATTTTGAGACATTATATGATTATGAACCGAACTTTATTGGAATCCATTATTTTTTAAATAAATTGGGAAATATAACAAAAGAGGAAAAAAAGAAAAATCTCTTGCCACATCTTCACACTATCTTGATTTTATCATCATCTACTACTAGGGGAAATGAAAACCAAGAATTAAAATTGATAAAAAGATAGGATAAATTAATTAATAATTATTAACTATACACACTCCTATAATTTGACATTAGTAGTGTTGGAAGTGGAGAAACCCCACCCGTGTGGACAACTTCTACCACGCTTCCATAATTATCCTCCAAAACAATCAATAAAATATTAAAATTAAAAGGCATGCATAGTCAATTTTCGTTTACACCTAGACAAAAAGTGCATGGTTTAATTATTTTCATTTAATTAAATTAAAGGAGACACGAAAAACAAACAACTAATTATTCGTCGAAAATCTCCCCAAAAAATGGGTTTATGGACTTCTCCACAATAAAATCGCTTCTTTTACTTGAGTTGATAGGATATGATATGATTAGATATGTTTACCAAATATGATGAGATTGAATAATCAACTGATGTATCACATGAGTCTTACACTTTTATGGACGATTCATAAAATTATTTTGTTTCAATCTTGAGGACGAGACATTTTAATTCCACCTAAGAAATGACAATTTTGTCCAAGATTTGGCATGTGAAATGTTATTTTTGTCTTTAGAAGTACATCAAATTACAGATTTAGGTCATATAAATATATTTTGCTACTACCTCATATTTTTCTTTTTATCTTGTCATTTTATTCAGGTTACTAAATGTTTGATTGTTTTTTCCTTAAAATGCATGATGGTTTGTAAACACCGGACACAAGCTGACGTGTAAAGTTGATGAAATTAAGGCCTATCCGCTTTAATATTCGGCCACCCAACCACTCGCGGAAAGAATGTGTATTCAATCCCATCATTCTAAGTAAACGAGGCTTTAAATCACCCGAATTGGTTTCCGAGTTAACACGTCGTCGATTCAACCAGATCGATTGTTGAATTGGAAGATTAATTTTTAAAATTCTAAACTTGGATATATAAGTAACAAAAAGTAATAATTAAAATATAAATTTTGAATCTAAAGTAATAACAATATACATCTCATCCATAAATATACATGTAAATGTATTGACCAACCAAGTCAACAACGGCTCGACTGGTCCAAAAGGCCTACCCAAATTGGGTAGAGTTTCAACCCACCCCGTTGGCCTTGCTTAGAGGCGGCCAGAAACGATTTCAGATCGGAACCGCCGATTCCCAATTCACATTTTATGTGAACATGAACTGACCTGAATATATATATTAAAAAAATATTTATTAAATTCGAATTGGCCCAGGTAAAACCACGCGCCAATTTATAAGCTCGGCCCGTGATCATGTCTACTTTAGCTTACAAGACAGTAAATTGTACTCCTTTCTATTTTTAATATTTGTCACGTTCACTACAAAAAAAACTCTTACATTCCAACGAAAATTTTCCGTTGGAATTCTTTATATTTTCCATTGGAATAGCTATTCCAACGGATATTCATACGTATAAAAATTTGTGGAAAAAACGGCCATTGGAATAGCTAAAATCCAACAAAAAATCCTATGAAAATAAATTCCTACAACTATTCCAATAGAAAAAATCTGTTGGAATTTCTCAACCATCCAACACTTATTCCAACATAAAATTAAGTTTGTTGGAATATTCATTGGAATTTCCAACAAAAATTTTTGCCGTTGGAATTTTTCGCTGGAATTGAAATATTTTCTTGTAGTGTTTGGCTTAATGAATCATTGATTAAATAAATGTCGTTTTGGCTATTTTGTTCATATTTTTTTATTTTTAACCCTCCATCAATGCACAATGTCTTTTCATATCCCATCTCCATAGTTTTTGTTAGGATATTACTTGTGAGTTGTCCCACATCGTTCATACATGGAAAATAGACCCACCTTATAAGTCTAATGGGCTACTCCTCCTTCCACCAATTGGTTTTGGGATGGAACCCCACTTGGGCTTCATATGGCTTTTCCCGTTCATGGTGCGCTTCATGTTTGTGGGACCGCACCCGTTTTCCCTTAGTTTCTTACATGGTATCAGAGCCGGTTCTATTAGATCGTGCGATGACGTGTGCGATGACGTACCTGTTTATGGGAGTCTGCTTCCCCACGTACCCGTTTATGAGAGTCTACTTCTAGTAGGCTTGGGGCACCCAACCCAGTTGGGTTTGGGCTTCCGAAGGACTCACAAGTGAGGGAGCGTGTTAGAATATCACTTGTGAGTTGTCCCACATAGTTCATACATGGAAAATAGGCCCATCTTATAAGTCTAATGGGCTACTCCTCCTTCCACCAATTGGTTTTGGGATGGAACCCCACTTGGACTTCATATGGGCTTTTTCCGTTCATGGTGCGCTTCATGTTAGTGGGACTGCACTCGTTTTTCCCCAGTTTCTTACAGTTTCCCATAACATTCATTAAATAAGATTAATATTGACAAGAAAAAAAATCTTAATTAGCGTGTTGTTTTTCAAAGCGATTTTTTTTTTTTCTGGTAATGTCCAATTGACATTTTATTTGAACATGAACTTACCTGAATATATATATATATATGTCGGTTCACTAAACCGACGGGTCAATGTTCAGAACTGGACTAGTTTCGAGCCAAACCGGCTTAAACTTGCACCAGGTAAAACCACGCGCCTATTTATAGGCCCGGCCCGTGATCATGTCTACTTTAGCCCACAAATCAGTAAAGTTGTACCCTTTTCCCCTCTCACCTCCCTTCCTATATAAATACAAGATAATACTATCCATTAGTTCATCTTGTACACACACATTCACACATTACCTGAAACTTCCCATTTTTCCCCCCCTAACTAGTCAACGTTTTAACATACAGTACTTTCATAGAACAAATACTCAAATACAGAGAACAGAGGTATTTAACTAACAATGGCCGCGGCCACTGATAAGGTGGTGGAGACCGTTATGGTCGGAAACTACGTCGAAATGGAGAGCTCAAGCGGCGGCAAACCAACCGGCGTAAAGTCCAAGGTTTCGAAGCTCTTCTGGCACGGCGGCTCGGCTTACGATGCCTGGTTCAGCTGCGCTTCGAATCAGGTGGCTCAGGTTCTGCTGACGTTGCCTTACTCGTTTTCTCAGCTGGGAATGACGTCAGGAATACTTTTCCAGCTGTTTTACGGCGTAATGGGCAGCTGGACGGCGTACCTTATCAGCATTCTCTACGTTGAGTACAGAACCAGAAAAGAGAGGGAGAAATTTGATTTTAGAAATCATGTCATTCAGGTCCTTGTTCTTTTTTTTAATTGCAAATTGGCCCCTGAACATTTGAGCTAGAAAAAAAATTGAGTAATTTTCAGTTTGTGATTTTCTTTAAATTGCAAGTTGGCCCCTGAACATTTGAGCTAGAAAAAAAAATTGAGTAATTTTTAGTTAGTGATTTTTTTTAAATTGCAAGTTGGCCCCTGAACATTTGAGCTAGAAAAAAAAATTGAGTAATTTTCAGTTAGTAATTTTCTTTTAATTGCAAGTTGGCCCCTGAACATTTGAGCTAGAAATTTTTTTTGAGTAATTTTCAGTTAGTAATTTTCTTTTAAATTGCAAGTTGGCCCCTGAAAATTTGTTTTAGAAAAAAAAAATTGATTAATTTTCAGTTAGTTCTGCATAGGTACACCAAACCTAGGAAAAAAAGGACAAGAGAGTACCGTACTCGTATTTTAATTTTTATAATTTTAATTTTTTTTTTCTCTGAGCCAATTTTTTTTTAATTTTAATTTAATTTAATTTTTTTTATTATTAATTTTTTTTTTTAAATTATGAAAATAGTGGTTTGAGGTGCTTGATGGGCTGCTTGGAAAGCACTGGAGGAACGTGGGTTTGGCTTTTAATTGCACTTTTCTTCTGTTTGGATCTGTAATTCAGCTCATTGCCTGTGCAAGGTATCTATCTATCTACCTAATTAAACTAGCATCACTGTGGTTCTACCCGGGCTCGATTCCGGATTAGTCGGTTATCATGTGGATCCAGAAACCGGAAGGTCCTTGTACCAAAAAAAAAAACTATGCATCACTTTTTTTTTATTTTTATTTAATAATAATAATAACAATAATAATAATAATAATAATAATAATAATAATAATAATAATAATAATAAATGTGTTAAATTTTGATGCAGCAATATATATTACATAAATGACAACTTGGACAAAAGGACATGGACTTACATATTCGGAGCATGCTGTGCTACAACAGTCTTCATACCATCTTTTCATAATTACAGAATTTGGTCTTTTTTGGGTTTGATTATGACCACTTATACAGCTTGGTACCTAACTATTGCCTCCTTATTACATGGACAGGTAAAATTATTTCTATTATTATTTTAATATTCTTAATAAATTTATATCTTCTTTCAATTTATTGCATTAATTAATTCTGGAAATTTTACTTTTTTGTTGTTATTATATATTAATTAATGATTGATTGTGGGTGTAGTTTTATTTGAATTGAGCCGAGTAGCTCTTATTCAAGTTCGTGCTTGATTAATAAATGAGCCGAATAAACCTAAAACCTTAAAACGGGCTTTGACGAACATGAAATGGTTGTTCGTGAATAAGTTCGACTTAATCGTTTCATATAAAACTCATTCAAAAAAGTGATATGTTTGCAGATGAACTCGGTTAGGCTCTCTGCAGCTTGCTTAATAAATGAGCTCGATTAGCCATTCGAACTCAAATTTAAGTCGATGAATGAATCAAACTCAGGGGCGGAGCCAGGGAGTGGCTCAATCATGTTTTATTAATTTAATTCATGATATAATATTTAGTCCGTATTCATTTAAAATAATTGATATTAAACCAAAATATTATACATATTTTTGGACATGACTCAAACTTTTCATATGTATTTTTATGTGGTTATAGCTTACTTTGTCATTTTTTCTTCTTTGTTTTTATTTTTTTATGTTTGATTTAATACACGATTAATTTATATTATTTATATTAGTTTATATATGAAATACATCAACTTGTTAACTTTTAAATAAATTATATTTGAATATGTGAAATAGATAATTTAAATTCATTAATTTGCATAGCAGATCAATGAAACGACATTTGGAATTTCACAATTTAAGCGAAATATCATTGAAGCCAAATTGAGCCGAGTACATCGTGTTCGAACTTGTGTTCGTCTAATAAATGAACATGTTTGGCTCGAATCATTTAACAAATTGAGTGTAATCAACTAAGCTCCGCCCGTTTGAACTAAGTTTTCATTTTATGTTTTATTAAATGAATGAATCATGATTGATTTTTTACGAGTCGAACTGAGTTATACTTCCTACCAAATCAGTTCTAGCAGCCCAGGGTAAAAAATATTTCTGTCTACGCCCCTGATCAAACTTGAGTTTTCACAAGTCTACTGTATCTCGATATATTGAATTAATTCTAACAAATGGACCTTTTTATGTATATTGATTGTGGATCTCGGTTTCATTCGAGTTGAGCCGAGTATAGCTCAGATTCATGTTCGTGCTTGATTAACAAACGAGCCGAATAAACCTAAGACCTTAAACGAGCTATTGACGAACATGATAATGGTTGTTGGCGACCAAGTTCGACTAAACTGTTTCATATATAAAACTCGTTTTGGCTCTATGTTTGTTTAATATATGAGCTCGATTAGCTGTTCGAACTCAAACGTAAGTCGATGAACGAATCAAACTCAAGTTTTCAAAAGTCTGCATCAGCTCGATTCGTTTAACGACTCTAAATTTTACGAACATGAAATCAGGTGGAGGGTGTTAAGCATTCGGGGCCAGCAAAGATGGTTTTGTATTTCACAGGGGCCACCAACATTCTCTACACATTTGGGGGACATGCAGTTACAGTGTAAGATATATTATTATATCTTCAAATATTTATTTTATATTATTATTTTAATTTATGTTGTAAATTTGTATATCTCTTTTGTTTTATTTTATTTTTATGTATTTATTTATTTATTTTTGGCTAGAGTCATGTTTGGTCATTGTCAAGGTGGATAAAAACGTTAATTAAAAAAGAATTTTTTTTTTATATTAATTTTTATGAAAAGGACTCGACATTGGATAAAATCGACAATGACATGTGATATAACAAAGGACCAATCTATTTATTAATTCCTTTGTATAGTTCAAGTGCCTGATGGGTCATGGGTAGTCCTTTTCTTGGAATTTATGCACTTATTTATCTTTTTATTTTTTTTTTAATTCATTTTCCGGTCTCGTTACGGAACTATTTCGCCGGGTTTGTAATCGTTAGATTAACTATCTCTGACGGTTACATGATGATCCAACGGTTTCAAACTCCGACATAATGGTTCGGTAACAGGAACTTAACATTTCCATGTAACTATGTATAAGTTGGAGTGTGTTTGGCAAACAAGATTAATTACGTACACAGCTCCACCTAATTTGTTGCAGAAAACATAAATAATGAAATAAATAATGTCAGCATTAAAAGCCCTATTAGTCTATCACTACTTTGTTCAGTTGTTGTTATTATTAACCTGAGATGTCTCTGCACCCATAATTAATTGTTGAAATAAATAAAGTCTTGAATTAAGGTAAAGTAAAAACTAACAATTATTACATCCAAAAAAAAAAGCAATAAATAATTAAATTAAACACACAATATTATAATTTTATTATTATTATTATTATTATTATTATTATTATTATTATTATTATTATTATTATTATTATTATTTATTTATTCATTTATTTATTTATTTTTCTGTGTTGGGCTTTTTTGCAGAGAGATAATGCACGCTATGTGGAAACCCCAAAAGTTCAAATCCATATATTTGGTGGCCACTCTCTATGTGTTGACTTTGACCTTACCTTCTGCATCGGCTGTCTATTGGGCTTTTGGCGATTTACTCCTCAACCACTCCAATGCTTTTTCTCTCCTCCCTAAGTCTCCTTTCAGGGACATGGCCGTCATTTTGATGCTCATTCATCAAGTAATTTTCAAATAAAAAAAATTACATTTTCATCCTAAAGTCTTGCTGAGTCGGTTTAAATCGTTAGACGGATCGACCCATCATACTTTTCTGGATAATCAGTGTGATTGTTGGATTTAATGTGTGTTTTGTAATTTCGTGCAGTTCATAACATTCGGATTCGCGTGCACGCCATTGTATTTTGTGTGGGAGAAGGCGATCGGCATGCACGAGTGCCGGAGCATGTGCAAACGGGCCGCGGCTCGATTGCCGGTGGTGGTGCCAATATGGTTCCTAGCTATAATCTTCCCCTTTTTTGGACCCATCAACTCGACCGTCGGCTCACTCCTCGTCAGCTTCACCGTGTACATAATCCCGGCTCTGGCATACATGTTCACCTTTCGATCGGCCACGGCCCGCGAGGTGATTAACCACAAATTTTATCATAAATTTAGTTAGCATGCTAATAGTTAAACGAATCTTTTATTTTTATCTTATTTAAAATGCAGAATGCAGTGGAGCAACCACCAAAATACTTTGGAAGATGGGTTGGGGCATATGTGATCAACATATTTGTAGTTGTTTGGGTTTTGATAATTGGGTTTGGGTTTGGTGGATGGGCCAGCATGACCAACTTTATCCACCAAATCGACACGTTTGGGCTTTTCACTAAATGCTACCAATGCCCACCTCAGCTGCCACCGCATGTGGCCAATGCCACCGGCCCACCGCCGCCTTTGGCCCTCAATTTCACTCATTCGCCGCCGCCGCATGTTCACGGCCATTGAGCTAGTGTCCTCACAATGTTCTATGTGAACGAAACTTCAAGAAATCTAGATTTTATTTTAGCAATTTAGATAGGACTACTAAGTTCTTTCAAATATTGATCCTTTAATTGAATTTTGTTGTTTTTATTGGCCATATATTTAGTTTATGTAATGCAATTATGCAAGCTTGCTCTTCCTTTTTGTTTTTTTTTTTTTTGTTTTGGATTGACTGATCTCGAACATATCTCTTGAAACCTAAAAATTCAGAACTTCATACATCAAAAGATAGACCAAGCTATATATTGGGGAACGACTACAGTCCCGTTAACGGAATAGTTCCGTCCGTATTTGTTACTGTAGATAATGTACGCAAAATAATCTACATGTGTATCCAATAGTGAAAGAACCCTTCCGTAACAGAACTTAACATTTTCCTACATATTGATATCATAAAAAACTCTGACTTCTTGAATTGAAGTTTTGTACTTGGTCAGATGAGTGATGCATTGGCTTCTTGAATTGAAGTTTTCTACTTAGTTATATGATTCCATTACTTGTTCTCAAGTTGAGAGGTTATAATATCAAGTCGTGGAGTCATGTTTTGTTCAAATACATCACTTTCCAGTTGCTGCCTTTCCCTCCTCTTTTCCGCACTCTCCTTCTCCTTGTGCGAGTTAGGCGGGAATCTCAGGGCCCGAACAGCCTCATTATGCATGTTCAAACAAAAGGCAATTCTAGAGTTTAGCACAGCCCGAGGCTCGTTTGTCGAGTATATGTCACCCGTTTCCTTTGAAACCATCGACCCGCTAGCCCGGTCCAGCATGGCATCAATGGCCCCATCTCGGATTGCCTTTGACACAATGCATTCTGCATCTGCAACGGGGCTCGGAGAGTCGAGCCGCAGCTTTGCAGCAATATCGGTGAGTGAGATGCGTGAGTATGAGATGCTGATGTTGCGAAGTCCCGCTCGGATAATGTTGTGCCTCCGCCGAACGATCAAGTTGTTTGTACGGTCGGCCGTGAAAGTGCTCGTATATTTGTCGGCTATCTTCTTGAAAAGCTCGAGATCTCCGATCCGGACAGCCTGAAAGCCCCCACAAAGAAACACGTGAATGCCAAATTTGGGGGCAATTTTGATTCCTGTGATCTTTTTTTTTTTT